ATTAAGGACACATAGTTAGATATGGAGAACCAGCTAACTGGAGGAGGTCGGCAGGCCTTGTTTTGGGGTGGGAGAGGGTAATACCTGAATCATTTTGCTCTTGGAGCAGGATTCATGAGCTCACAGCAGTGAGCTTCCCCTGGCTCCCTTAAAGCAATAGTCATATCTGTTCATTTTCTCCCAAAGAAATCTCTGGTAATACATTTTTCTTTTTCTCCTTATGGCATGTTTATTTACAGGAATTGGTATGAATGGCCTTTTAATTCACTTTTTCTTTGTAGAACCACCACCACCTAAAATCCCGAAAATAGAGACCACTCACCCACCGTTGCCTCCGGCCCACCCACCACCAGGTGAGTGCCTGCTGAGGCTGCTTAGCTGGCATCCTTGCAGCTCCGGTGGGACAGCGGAACAGTGTGGGGGTGCTGGGGAAGCCTGTAGAAGGGCAGCTTGCAGAGACAGCCACGAGCAAGGAGCTTTCAAAAACCATTTGCATCACAAACCAGATATTCTGCAGTTAGACCTCAGTATATCTGCTACCCTCTGATCTCATCCAGAAATGCTGAACTACACAGATAAATGGATTTTAGGAAAATAAAATCCTGCTAACAGTGAACATTGATTCAGAGCCAGGCAGGACTGCTATGGGTGTGAGACTCCAGCCTCTCATATCTGCTTCCTTGGCAAGATGTCTTCTTAGTGCAATTAGAAGAGTAAGCTGTAGGCAGAATCACATGGAGAGGAAATGGAAGGGCTTCAGGTTCTCAAAGGGACACTGAGCTGGAAGGCTTCTCAGCACTAGAAATAGCTTTCTTTACCTGTACACCATCTCAGAAGCTGAAACATTGAACCAGAGCAGGCAGGGCTGGCGTGTTTTCTGAAGGGTGTAGATAGTCTGGAGACCTCCCTGGCCTCTTGTAAGTCTGCTGTGCTAACTGGAGTTGTTGGTCAGAGCATATGAAGACGCTGCTCAAGTTGATGCATGCCTGCACAGACATGCAGCTCATTAGCTGAGTTTCTGTCATATCCACTCATGGTAACTTTATATGCTTTGAGGAAAAGGAAGCATCATTTTCTACTTGGAGCCAAATCCCACAATCTCCAATTTAATACGAACCTTGCTTTAAAAGACACCTGCAAAGGATTGCACTTTCAAGGCCTGGCTTATCAACTTAGCAAGACCCTGTCTCAGAATTTAAAAATAAAAAGAGCTAGGGACTTAGCTCAGGGTAGAGCGTCCTGGGTTCCATCCCCAGTACAGGGCAGGTGGGGAGAGATGCTGCAGTTGCTTATTTAGTGCTTGTAGAGTGGTTGTCGACTCAGCAATAGTAGTTCCCCAATCCAGTACTAGGGGCTGAGCCACCGCTAGGGAGGGATGTGGGATGTGGCACAGTTGGGAAACGGGGCAGTTGGTGAGGTGCCCCTGCCTATGTTCAAGGCCCTTCAGGGGCACTGCCCAGCACAGGCAGCTCTACCATGGACAACTGCAGGTGGACAGGCCTAGCTCTCAGATAGGACCTGGGAGCCAGATGGGCCACTAGGAGGACTGTGGTAGGAGTAAGCAGAACCTGGCAGCCATAGCAGGACCTCCCAAAGGGGAAAGTGGCTACAAAGGAAGCCCAGGTCACAGGGGCTCCTTAGGCAAGGCCCATTCATAGCTGTCTGGTGCGGAAGGTCAGGAGGCAGAGTCGGGGCACTAGGGGATGAAGAAGGCAGTCACTGCTCCTGTGCAGCACAAGAGCATGACAGGAGAGAGGTTGAGCTCAAAGTGAGGTTTAGTGGCAATTTGGGGCCTTGTGTAGCAGCCAGGTGCCAGCAAGGGAGGGTGCAGAAAGGGTGCAGTGCCATGGACAGGCCTCTGTAGAGCAGTATCACAAAAGGCAAGTTTGGGTGCTCTGGTGACAGGAGAGGCTGCTGAGCTGAGTGTCACAGGCTGGAAGGTAAAGGGGATGTGTGTGGACCCAGAAGGCCCATGGAGTGACACAGGAGGAATTGGTAATTGGTCTGCTCAGCTTCTGACACCAAGGGTCAAGGGCCCCTCACCTGGGGGCCTGTCCTACCTCCCTTGGTGAGGGGTGCCGATTAGCACAGGCAGCTCCATTGGTGTGTCTGTTGCCAGCCTGCAGTTCTGCTCAGCTTCATTTTGGTGAGGATAGGGAATGGCAGATGCCACAGTTTCTGTGTTGATGGAGAGCAGTAGTCTGGTACCTAGGCAGGTCTCTTCTGTACTTAGTGTCCAAGTCTGCACAATCAGGATGCCATGATGTGCTTTGCCCAGCCCAAGAGAGCACAGGCCAGTGCCTAGGGAGCTGGAAACTGCCTGCACAGTTCACATTTTCTATACCCAGAAGCTTTTTTCTGTGACTTGTGCTCTTTTCGGGCTACCTCAGGGAAAGACATACATTCTAAGTCTTGAGCTACCTGTGGTATGGGATATTCTGATGTCATTTTCCAAGGGTCTGACCGGGACTTGGGATCCCAGGCCAAACCTACTAGAGGAGGCTTTGGGAAAGGAGTGAGGGCCAAGGGATTTGGAACACTGCAGGGGAGGCCCATGGTCTGGTCTGAGCCCAGGAACTTTTCAGGAATGCTTGACAATAGGTGCTGCCTGCCACTAGCATGTGGACACACTGATCCTTCAAGGAACAGCGTAAGCCCAGCCTGGCTTCTTTAGTAACAGAACCAGAACCAGCACCTCATTCATTTGACCAGCTCGCAGACTCTTGGCAAAACGCAGGTGCTGCAGGTGGTGCTGCAGCGTGGCCCTGGCTCCCTGGGGGCCTCAGGGACTTGAGAAGCAGGAAGCTGAAGGAGCCCGCACTGGTTTGTGCTAGAGGTGCTGAGCGGAGCCCCTGTAGCTGTACACCCAGCACTGAGGAGAGGCCCGGGGTCATTGGGAGATGGTTATGGAGGGCCTAGGAGACAGGTCAGGGCAAGAACTGCTGGCCTTAGGACATTGGTCTGCACATAAGACTACAAATGTGTCAGTTGCTCCCTGCACCTTTGTGAAGGTGGCCCTCAGCAACAGCAGTGGCCCTCACAGCCTGCAGTGGGCTGAGAGCTCCTGGCTCAGGGCTCTCACTCAAGGAGTCATGCCTGTGGTTTTGTACCTGGCGGCTCTGGAAACCTAGTCAAGTCACAGGTGGGGCACTGACTTGTCTCTCTTCTACAGACCGGAAGCCTCCCCTCGCTGCTGCTCTAGGCGAGGCCGAGCCACCTGGCCCGGTGGATGCCAGTGACCTCCCCAAAGTCCAGATTCCTCCTCCGGCCCACCCGGCCCCTGTGCACCAGCCACCACCTCTACCACACCGGCCCCCACCCCCGCCCCCCTCCAGCTACATGACGGGGATGTCCACCACCAGCTCCTACATGTCTGGAGAGGGTTACCAGAGCCTGCAGTCCATGATGAAGACCGAAGGCCCCTCCTATGGCGCCCTGCCCCCAGCCTATGGCCCGCCAGCTCACCTTCCCTACCACCCCCATGTCTATCCCCCCAACCCACCCCCACCACCTGTGCCTCCTCCCCCAGCCTCCTTCCCCCCACCTGCCATTCCACCCCCTACTCCTGGTTACCCACCACCTCCACCTACCTACAACCCCAACTTTCCACCCCCACCCCCTCGCCTGCCCCCCACCCATGCAGTCCCACCTCACCCTCCTCCAGGCTTGGGCCTGCCGCCGGCTAGCTACCCGCCTCCTGCAGTGCCCCCTGGAGGACAGCCACCTGTGCCCCCGCCCATCCCCCCACCTGGCATGCCTCCTGTTGGGGGACTGGGGAGGGCGGCCTGGATGAGATAACCTGACGCCTTTTTTTTCCTTGGTTTTTTTTTTTTTTTTTTTTTTAAACAAGAGTTTTTCTAATTAACTTGAAGAGTAGTTTAAGTGTAAGCAGCGGGGACCTTGTATAATGCCAGACAGTTGCAGTAAGGAAGGGAGGGGCCAGATCCCTGGGATGAAATTGGGGTGGTCCTCACACCTGGAGGACRGGGACAGCCAGCTTCAGTGTGGCCTAGGCAGCTCCTCTTGCAGTCTGACTGTACAGTTTCAGCTAACAACGTCTGAGAGTCCTGCACTGGGTTACTTTATACTAGTGAAAATGTTAACCAGCCATATTGGCTCAATAAATAGCTTCAGTAAGGAGTGACTTTCCTTCTAGAAATCAGTGCCTATTTTTCCTGGGAACTCAGTTTTAAAAAGTCCAGTTCCATCTGAGGTCAAGCTGTTGTCATTATTGTCATTCAGTGGTGTTCTCCCCATGAGACCCAATAGGTCAGATGAACCACTTTTTTGATTTAGAGGTATTTGCAGCCTTTGTATTAAACTATTGTGAAGGGGTGGCCTTGTTGGATGGCTTATTTCTTTTTCCTCCTGGGAGAAGGGGAGAAATGTACTTGGAAAGTAATGTATGTTTACATCTATTTGCAAATTCCTGTACATAGAGATATATTTTTTAAGTGTGAATGTAACAACATACTGTGAATGCCATCCTGGTTACAAACAAGTCTCCTTCAGTCAGTTATCCAAATAAAATCAGTTCTGGAACTTGCCCCTTGTTTGTTTAACAGGGCAGGAGGTGGGGTTGGGGGTTGTGGAGTCTATCACAGAAGCCCCTCTCTCCTCCTGTACTGCAGGCAGCTGGAGGAGGGATGAGGGGCACTGATGGAAAGCCTGACCCCACCATCTCCCTGATGTCTCTGGGGACACTAAGGTGTGGCTCTGCATGTGATTTTAACCACCCTGGTTAAATTCCAGACCAGTTTTGAGCTCCTGAGACCAGGCTTGGATGGGAAATCCTTTCCACTCCTGACCTGTGGGTAGTAATTACTGGCCTCCACCATCCACTTGAGGGGCCAAATGTATGGGGCAAGGGTAGAGTGCCAGTTGATCCCCATCTGAATTGCTTGCTGGGCCATGGCTCCAGGCCACCCCTCAGTCCTCAACAGAGATGAGCAGGGAGCACCAACCAGAAGGCTTGCAAAGAGGCCTTTATTTATCTAGCTCAAAGTATACACGGTCACAATCTTATTTGTTACTCCTTTTACTAAAATAGTTCAAATCAATGTTTTTACCACACTATCAAAAAGTTCTATTCTCTCCACAAATCAAAGTGGTTCAATAGAAGGTAGAAACAGGCGGGAATCCACAGGCTCGGCTCTGTGGGGGTGGCTGCAGGTCCACCTTGGTCACCTTCTACAGAAAATAGCATAGCTGCCGGCCCAGGACAGGAACCAGACGTCCCAGCCTGTTTCCAAAAAGCAGCATGAGTACTTTCCCCACAGTATGAAAAATAGACACCTCTAGCACTCTGCAGCCATGCGTTTAGTTTGTTTCTTTAAAAAAAAAAAAAAAAAATCAGTAGTATGTTTTTGTTTTTTTTCCTCTCAAGTTTCAAGAAAAAACAAATGAAAGGTCACTTTTTCCTCTTTAAACACTGGTGTGTAGCTAATAACTTTTGGATAAAAATGTGCCACCCTAAAAAAATGTGCTCAGCAGATTCTGACTCCAGCATAGGTGAGGCCACCTGGGCTGGGACCAGAAGGGTGACCTGTCACAGTGGAACTGAAGCCAGTGTTGAGTGTCCTTGGGCTTCAGGATTGAGAATTAGCATGTGAAACGGAAAGGGGCCTCTATGAAAGGCCATCCCCTTGGCCCCTGCCCAGGAGTTTCAGAGCTAAGGCTCCAGAAGGGAGGGCCACCCGGTGTCACCCTGAGCTATGGCCACAGGCTCCCCACTGTGAGAGGCCCGGTGGGGCCCACCCCAGCTCACTCGTGGCTCTGCCACTGCCAAGGGCACCTGGGCTCCTGCTGCTGCTGGCTTTTACTAACTGTTGGATTGAAGACATGACTGTCACAGTCCCGTCCCAGAAAGCTGTCCACTGTTGTGTGGACTCAGGGGCCTCTGGCAGGCAGGAGGTGCTCCACAGACCCCTGGTGCCTCCACAGCACCAGGAATGGGGTCACTTCCCTCAGGACACAGGTGGCTTCCAGGCTGTTCCCTGGGTAGATCTGCAGATACCAGGAGCCCTTATTGCTTATTTCAGTGGTGGCCAAGCCACCCTGATCCAAACACGACACGTGGGCTCCCGGACTGGGCTCCTACACAGCATGGACCCACACCCAAAGGGACATGTGTGTCACCAGCCCAGCTTCCCGCTTAGGCAGGCATGACGCAGTACCATGACCAGTAGATGGGGGCAGACCCCTGAGGACAGGGAGCTCATCACCTGACCAGGCAGCAGCTCCTGGGAAGAGCTTTCTGCTAACGCCCACAGCAAGAGCAGCAGGCCCAGCCCTGAAGCACCTAGCTGGCACTCCCAGGGCACGCCAAGGGCTGCGGGCCTTTCCCCTGAGTGCAGGACACAAGGGCGCAGATGGCAAACGCCAAGGGAACCACTCCCTATAGAGGGTCCCCAGCTGGGGAAAACAGCAGGAAGACATCTGCCCTCCCCTGCCCTGGTCCCCATCCTTGGCTCGGCCTGAATGAGACCTGCCTGATAGGAAGACGCTCCTTGGGCCCTTCAAGTACCTGCTGCACGGAGCTCAAGTACCATCGGAGGAGGGGAGACACGGCTGACAGCGGGAAGTGAACAGAGGTGAGTCGGGGTTGGGGCTGGCCAGTTACGTGCATGCGTGGATGTCATCAAAATGGCCTGCCCTCTTAGAGATTTTAGGATCTCCCCCGTAGCCAGGGCACTATGTGTAGTAGTACAATATCACCTCCCTTCCTGGGCCTCATTTTCCTCTCACAGACTAAAAAATATTTCCTATCACACTTCATGGTTTATACGGGATCATTTACATTGAAGGTCTCTTGCTGTAAGGAGGGTGGCGTCCATTTTGTAGCTTAGAACACTGAGGCTTGGAGAGAAGAGGTGACCTGCCATGAGACAGCAAGGCAGCAACATGAGCTTGGCCTTGGCTTGTGAGCTGTGAGGACTGAGACCATCTACAGCAGGGGCCCAGAGAAGCTGTGTGATTTCATGAAGGTCACACAGTAAATTAAAGCCAGAACCAAGTCAGGGTCCTTCCTTCCAAAAGAGAACAGAATACTCATCATGGGAAGCCCCTGTAGCTGTGTCCACAGTGACCAGGTAGAGCCAGCCCTGGAGGCAGCCACCCCACAGCTGACCAGGGACTCCGAATGACCCGGTTCTACCCATCCCTAGATGCAGCTCAGCCCAGAAGCCCTCCAGGACCTTCCCTGTTCCTGTGAGCCCCAGGTAGGATGCTGGGCAGCAGGGACCCTAAAAGATGGGGCTAACCCTGGCACAGGGTACAGAGACCACAGAGAATGTATGTTTGGGGGCATCAGGGAGGGGGAACACTAAAAACAAGCAGCAACTGGCATCAGGGTGGCTGGCACCAACCCCCAACAGCAGAGACTCCAAGCTCCCAGGGCCAAGGTCAGAGGAAGGGCCTGGGAGCCCCAAGCAGCTCCAGCAGCCAGACATGGTGAGTTTCCTTGTCCATGACACAGAGGACCCAGTGCTGGGTGAGCTGGGGTCCTGACCATGGCAGGGCAGGAAATGGTGCCACTGTGTCAGGATTCAGGTGATGACAGCCTCTGTCCAGTACAGGGGCACCAGGAGGATGGAAAGCTTGATGAGCGGCCCCCACATCGAGGGCAGGACACGGAAGCCTGGACAGTCCCTGAGCCTGGCATCCCAGCAGGGGCCTTCAGCCTCTTGCAAATGGAGCCCGAGGCCAGAGAGGGAGCCAGGTCACTCTGGCCACCAGGGAGCAGTCGCGGCTTCGCATCTTCGCAGTTTGCTGGTGCATGAGGCGGGAGTGGAGGCCTGGCCGACAGAGTGTCTCGGCACGCAGCCAGGGTGGTCCGTGTCCTATGTACAACTCACCAGAGAAAGACAGTGGCTTACGAGAGTCCTGCCCTCGTCTAGGGCCTGGGAGCCCTGGGAGGGGCCAGTCCACATCCGTGAAGAATGGCCCTACAAAGGACCCTTGAACTGGTTTCCAGACAGGTGCTGCCGGATGGAGGGCTTGGAGCTGGCAGCGTCTCCCAGCTTCCTCCAGACCACCTGCAGAGAGGGGCAAGACGTGAGTGGAGGGCCCGCCTGAGCCCACCGCTGGCCTGCGCATGCCTCCTGCCTTATCCCTGCAAATCGCCCATGTCCTCAGAGCCCTGGGACCAGGAAGGGAGACTGAGGCCGCAAGAGGCCTGGAGGTGCTGAGGCCTGGTCCTGCCCCACCCCAATCATGGCTGCCCCGGAACAGTTTTGGCCTCGTGGCTGTTCTGTAGGGCCCATGGACCTAAGACAGCCCTTCCCCACAGCTCTTGCAAAGGTCCAACAAGTCAACTGGTGGTCAGAGGGGCCAAGGACGAGGCTCTCCCAGGCAGACGGGGCAGCCCAGGCCTGCAGGTCTGCATATTCAGCTTTGAGAACTAAACGCAAGGCCAGCCGCCGCCAGGGGGCACAGGTGAGCTGGGAGGCCAGGGTCAGACACCCAGGGCCCAAGGGCTCCAGGGCTGGATGAACCAGAGCAGTGCTGGGGTGGGGAACTCCAAGCCCCAGGCGTGGCACTCCTGGGGAGGGAGAGACCTAGCCATGGTCAGGGGCCCTCTGGCAGGGGGAGTAGAGTGGGTGACAACAGGCCAGGGAGTCCAGAGCCTCCAACATTCTGGAGCTGCCCAGGGCAGCAGCTGAGTGTGTGCAAAACAGCCCTACACAGGGAGGGGTGTGACCCGCCAGGTGAACCTCATTGTGCCCCCGCGCCAGACCCCCACCGCAGCCCGGGGAGCGCCCTACGTTGCACATCTCCCGGACGATGGCTTTCTCCTCCTCGCTCAGGTCCTCCTCACAGCTGTGCTGGAGCTGCCGGTCCAGGTTCTCATGCACCTCCAGGACCTGAAGGATGAAGATCAGTCCCAGAGTGTGGGGCAGAGGCCAGCAGTAGGCCTCCAGCAAGTCACCTGACCCCTGCAGCCTTGGCTTCCCTGGCTACACGGAGAAGCTGAGGTCCCGAGCTGCTGGGGGGCAGGGTGTGGATGTCTCTTCACCCTGCGACACCACGGTCTCCATACAAGGGAAGCAGCATCCCTGACTCAGGGACGGGTCACCCAGGACAAGGGTGGCCAGGTGGCAGGGACAAACTTCAGACAGGTGGACTCACTCGTGTAACAGCACAGGGCAGCCCACACCCCACACGAGGCTCCTGGCACAGGGGAAGGAAGGAGGGGTGTGGGGCAGGCGATGTGCTCAGGTGTGGGTGCCCTTGGAGACATGAGGAAGACCTGCCCCCGCACCTGGAGGCCGAGGTTCACCGAAGAAACCTGGGCTTCAGTCCCAACCCACTCCTGCCCCAGATCTCTGGCCCTAGGGCAATGCCTGTCCTCCCCCACCAGGCCTCTGTTTCCCCAGCTGCAGTAGCTCAGGGAGGGCTGACAGGTGACACTAGTCCCCACTCCCCACCTCTGAGTCCTTCACTGGACAGCCACGGCCCCAGCCACCGGCTGAGAGGCGAAATCCCCCACCCTGCTGCTCAGATGCCCTGCGCACAGAGAGCACAGGTGGCCTCCAAGGCCCCAGAGTGCACCGGGCATCTCGGGCTTGGGCAGTGGGGCCCTTACCTTCATGGCGTGCACCACTGCCTCGGGCTTCTGTCCCGCAGAGCTGTAGCCAGCGGAGGGGGGCGAGGGCAGCTCGGGCACAGGGCAGGCAGGGCCCTGTGGGAGGAATCACACCTTAGCTCCCGGCTGGCTCAAGTCAGAGGTCCCAACTGTGTGGGGCCAGAGCCAGGCAGGCGCAGATGGGGCTGGGGAGGTGGGCAGCAGAGAGGGCGAAGCCTGGAGAGGGCAGCCCCTCTGGTCCCGCCATGCCAGGTCCTCTGTAGACAGCATGGTGCCTTGCAGGGTGGGGGAGGGGACTGTGTAGGACCCGTGGTTTGTTTTACAGAGGAAGCCAGGGTAACGGGAGGGCAAGAGGCTCTGGCACAGCAGGCTGGGGGGCTGAAGCCACTACCTGAATCCAAAGCCCCTCCCAGCCGGTCCTGCGTCAGCCTCCCAGCTCTCAGCCTGGCCCTGTCTTAAGGGTCCAGTCGGCCACCAGGGGCCAGTTTCCACATGGCATGGAGTGGGCTGGTCAGGGGATGAGGCAAGGTGGGGACCATCCTCTGGGAAGCTTAGTTTTGACCCAGGGCCATAGCCCAGCTCCAACCCCGAGCTCCCCTCACTCCAGACGGCCATGGGGACCAGGCACTTCTTCCTCTAGCTGCTATAGGGCCTCCCTGGGGCCAGGAAGAAAATGACAAGAAGCACTAGCAGGTTAGTAGACTGAGAAGTCCAGGCTGGGACAAGCTTCCTCTGGCTGCCACTTGAGGCCAGGCCCAGCTGGCTCTGAGCTGCTTCCTCACCTGGCCGTCAGGGGCCTGCATCCCGGGTAGTGTGCAGAGCCCTGGGGAATGCTCAAGGGCTGCTTCTCTGAGTCCAGCTCAGGCTGCCAGTCTCTGGGCCCAGACCAGGGCAAACAAGTACCAAGCAGGAGTGTGGGGTAGTCCTCCCGGGGAGGGCACAGGAGATCAGCTGGGACTTGAACAGATGGCTGCACTCCCCCCAGAAGCCAGCAGGGGGTGCCAGCCACACACATACAGGGACCCTGGCCTGGTTCCCTTCTCTGGAGAGCCCATACCCTTCCCTGTCCCAGGGAACACCTTGTGCCAGCTGGCCCTGGCATCCGGCTCCTGAACTGCCTGCTCTGTCGGCACCCCCAGCTCCAGCATCTGATTCCTAGAGCAATGGCAAAAGGAAGGCTGGGGCAGTGGGCAGCTGTGATCCAGCCCATCCTGCCCACCTCACTTGGGACAGTAGGTGTCAGGGAGGCATGGCTGGGCATCCTGCAAACGACACCAGCCACTGTCCAAACACGCGGTGAGTGAGTGATGCACTGGGGCTGGCRTCGGGACTCCTGGCCACAGCTGAAAAAGCCAGTGCCACCTCCACTCAGGAGTACCATGGTTCCTACACACGTCCCCTCCCCCACCCTACAAGGCACCCAAGCCCGTCCCCAAGGTAGGAGTGAGGCTGCAGGGCCAGGCAGCTGCAAGCAAGGGACCTGGCCTATAACAGGGCTGTGGGCACCAGAGCTGTGCCAAAGCGGGAGAGCAGTGGACACCAGAGAGGACTAAGGAAAGGGCATGTCCACGAAGTACTAGTTCTGGAACCCACAGGCCACGCGCTCCACGGCAGCCAAAGAGTGGACACGGCCCCATCGTGCCCCAGCAGATGGAAGGTAGCAGAGGCACAGGGGGCTGCCCCAGGCCACGTGGGCAGCAACCCGAGCACCCTGGGAGACGCCGGGCACAAAGCCACGCTCCAGTGCATCCCCAGTACACAGTGGCAGGGATGGACGGACCCAGAGTGGAAAAGCAGTGGTGGCCCAGCGAAGAGGAGGAGGGGTGAGAAGGCATTTTGGGGTGATGGGGGCGTTATACTGTGATGAAGGTACAACTCTGAATTTATCAGAACTCCTGAATTACAGGTTCAGACACAAAGTCATTACCTGCCCCACCAAAAAAGGTGTGGAGACCACTGCCCCAAGGGGCCTGTCAAAGCCTTGACCGTCTGTCAGGAGGCCAAAAAATACAAACCACCTCTGCCTGGGCTCACGCCAACTGCCAGCAGGCAGGAAAGGGGTGCCCACCTTTAGTTACCTGTTGTACTGCAGGACCCTCAAAGTGCCCCAGGACGCACAAGTGGGCTCCAAGGAGACCTGCCCAGGTGTGGAGCACTGGCCTCCCTGGCACCCCTCATACACAGAGGGTTCAAGTGCCAAAATCAGGCTCTCCAGGCCCCAGCAAGGCCCAAAGCCCTGTGGACACTCCCTATGGCCTGGTCTCTGGTCCTCTGGTCCTCTGGCCCTCTGCAGTGGCCTCAGCAGCTTCAGTGACTGGCCTCCCCCAAGATAGCCCATCCTACCACTTTCTCTGGACCCCCCACTCTGCCCAGCCTCATGGAGCAGGGAGCTTCTGCAGCCGCCCACTGACCCTTGACCTCCAGGCCCACAGGCCCCAGCACACCCTCACCGGAGGGCCCTGCGACCCACCCACCCCAGGGCCTCAGTTCCTCTTCTCCAAAGTTGGGTGGAAGTGAGGCTCAAAGCCACACCAGACCTGCAGGATGCCTTCCAGCCAGAGCCGCCTGCCCTCCCTGCCTGGGTGCTGCCTCCCAGAGGCCTGGGTGTGGGGCTGGAGAGCCCAAGGGCAGCCAGCACTCCCCAGAGGCTGGCCCAGGAGCCAGCAAGGAACCTCACAGTTTGTAGATCACCAGGCCTCATGCCTGCGGCTGCTGCTCCCTATCCAATCAGAAGGAAGGATGGGTGGAGGGCAGAGGGGATGAGGGATTGGGGAAGGGACCCAGGAGGACCACTGCGAGGGGCAGGGCCTGGGTCCACAGCTGCATTCCTGGGTAGGAGGGGTGGCCTACAGGAGCCCACCTCTGGACATCAAGAGCCAGCGAGGCCAGGAGGGCCCAAGGTGGAGGGGAGAGGCCAGGGGTGTGACCGCTCCACACACACTGCCCAGGAGCCTCCACACCACGCAGCAGACCTGCAGACCCCCACTCAGGGGCACCCGCACACATGTGGAGCAGTGTCCCCATGGGGCAGACAGGAAAGTGAGCTGATCAGACATCTGGTGCAGAGGGAAGGTGGGCTGGCTCCCAGGCTGTCTCTGCAGTCACACATGGTGATGGGCACTTGATCCACAGGGAGCAGCCCCAATGGGTGCCCAGACAGGTAGCCAATTCCCCTGACCTAACTCCCAGCGGTCATTTCTCCCAGAGCAGGGCAGAGCCCAGTAGGAGCCTAGAAGAGGCCCCGGGAGGACTGTCCAGAACAGAGCCACCACCCTGGGCCCCTCCACGCTCAGGTCCAAGGCTGGGCAGCAACCCCACCCTGCACTCCAGGCCAGCCAGACAGCCTCTCCCGCTGCGCCCAAGTGACACAGGCTAAAGGGCTGGACTGAACGAGGGATATGGCTCAGCTGCCAGCTCACGTGACCTCTAAACACTGTCCCAACATGTCCAGCAGAGTCACCACATGTGTTTCACCTCTGGCCTCCACACTGGGCCCTTCTGAGGCTGTGCGGGTGGGAGGTCGGGCCCCTTCCTGGGAGGGTGGGGCACGAAGAAGGGCACAGCGGGCTGGCGGTCCTCCTCAGCTTTCACTGACCTGGACAGTGCTAGGCTAAAAATGAGTGTGGATGGGGGGAGGAGGAGACGTGGGACTGACCCTGTGCCCTGGGCAGCTCACCTGTGGAACTCAGAAGGAGACTAGAGACAGACCAGGAGCACTTGGGTTCTTTGGGGTGGACACTTACATTCTGCAAGGAGTCCTGGTAGGAGGGTGGCAAGGACGCGAGCTGGGACTCRGAGTGGTAGGGAGAAAAGCCCTTCCGCAGCATGCGCAGCTCTCCAGGGCCTGTCTGCTGCCAAGAGAGGGAGAGAGGTTAGGTGTCAGCCACCAAGGGCCAGCGCCACTCGGCTGAGCAGCTCCCTGGGGACAGGGTCTCTCCCCACAGCAGAGGCCTGCTCCACACACTTCCCCAGGGCCCCACCCAGCTGTTCCTGCCCTCGAAGCCACTGCCAAATGGCCTCTGTCTGTCCCCCCAACTCATGCCCACCAAGGAGTAAGAAGATGAATGACCAGCCCTCCCCACCCCGACCCTGTTCCTCCACTGCAACATCCTGCACTGGAGTCCTGCCAGTGTCACAGGCCAGTGTCCCTCACCAGGGCCTAGGGGATGGCCTCTGYACTCTGGGCCTCCCATGGCTCTGTGGCCCCTGGCCAGATGAGCCTCCTCAGGGCTCGGCCCACCTCCACCATCAGACAAAGCGCTCCCAAAAGCAGGCCCTGGGTGCTGTCCAGCTGAACCTACAAGGACCAGTGTGAGCTGGGCCTGCTGCCCTGGCACTGGAGAGGGGGGAGGAAGCCAAAGCAGACAGGCCTTGGGTGGGTCCCCTCAGAAGCCAAGGCTGAGGGTGGTGCTGTGGGAGGGGGCAGGACCAGGAGCAGAGAGCATCCACAGGTCCCAGGGATACCAGTGGGCGGGAGGCTCGGTCCAGCCGGCCTCCCTCCTGCTCCAGCCCCGCAAAGGTACCTTTCCTTCTGAGTCACCAGACCTTGGGGCAGTGTTTCTGACCCAAACACTCTTCTCTACTTCAAAGGAAATGAAAGAAAGCCTGGGCAGATAAGTGCAGCAGAAAGTCCATAAATCGGCAGGCGGCTGAGTCCCCAGGCCGCCGAGGAGAGGGGCCTGGCCAGGGCCGGGCAGGGGGCCAGCTGAGCAGCAGCCCTGTCTTGGAGTCTCCCCACTCACCAGCCCCCTCACCTGACTCACACTCTGCTCGCCTCCTGCCAACCAATGGGCCCAGCCCCCATTCCCCACAGGACCCCCTTACCCCCCCACCCCACGGGATCCAGGGTCAGACCTCCCTTCTTCAGGTCTAGGGCCTTGGCAGGGTCCTGCAGGTGCTGGGGATAGGGTGACACTAGAAGGACTGCCAGGCACCTGACCCACCAGCCTGAAGCAAGGGGTGTCCAGGGGTCAGTTGATCTGTTTTCTCAAAGGCCAGGCAGCACCAGGGCTGGATGCTGTTCCCACCACCTCCTCTCATCTCCTCGGGAGGACCTGGGTGTGATCCAAGATCTCAGAGGTGCAGGAGTGAGAAGGGGTGACCTACCCTCATGAGGGAGCCCCCAAAATATGGTGGGCTCCACCCAGTGGGCATCACCTGCAAAGGCTTGAGCCTACCTGAATCACCCAATGGCACAGTCATGCCCCTGGCTCTGGCCCTGCCTCAATACCCAGAGATATTAAAGGTCCCCAGCCAAGAAGGTTCCCCAAATCTCCCACTTGACTCTGATCAAGTGGAGCCCCACTACCACCAGCACCAAGAAAAGGAGAAGGAGGAACACCCAGCCTGGGCCCAGCACTCGCCACCCGGCCATGGGTAACCATCACAGCCCCGAGGTCTTCCCCCAGCTCCACTCGATGGCAAAGCTCTGAGCCAAGTCATCTTCCTGACCAGGACGGTGACAGAAGCGTCCCTCCTGGAAGGTGCGCTGCTTGTCTGCACGGGAACAGCCCGGTGGCAGAAGGCTGTGCGAAGTCCTTGTCCTCTGATGCTACTCTTGCTAAGGCTGACATAGACACGGAGAGGCCCCTTGTAGGGCACCCGGCCCACCCACCACGCATAGTGAAGCCCCTTGGCTACTAAGCCAGGAGGGGCAAACTCAGATGGGAGCCACAGTTCTCCCGCCCGCCAGTCTAGGGACCTGGACCCTGGGGCCGGTGGTCCTACCCACACACTGGCTGGAGAACTCTGGGCACAAGCCTCCCTTCCCCACGCTTCTCTGGCCCAGGACCAAATGGGCTCCCAGGCCGACTCAGGCAGTTACGGAAAACATGGAACACACCAGGCGGGTGGAGCTGGGGCTTCCTCCCTCCCCAGGCCACCTCCTTGGTGTTATCAGCCTGGATAAGCATCTATAAACACTTGCACGTCCACAGAACTTTATTAGTAAGCTGGGAAGGCAGGCAGGGGGGACACGCAAGCACTCTCATTAAGGGGCAATGTGACTAATGACCCATCAAATGAGTAACCATTACTGCACTTAAATCCAAATTAAAAATGCTGCTATTGGCCATGTGGATCCCTTGGCAGCACGAAAGCCCTGGGTTTTCATGGGGGGGGGGGGGTGAAATCACCTTCCAGCCAGCAGGGAGTGTGTGGCCTTGCCAGGGAGCACTTCCTCTCCTCCCCTCCCAGAAAGGCGTGCCTGCCTGCCCTGGAGGTGCCTTCCAGGGATCCCTCACACCCTGAGAAAGACCCTCCCTGGCTGGGGCTGGAACAGGACTTCCAAATCCTGTTCCCAGCCCTGCAAACCCTCAGCAGGACCCCTGCCACCCAGTTGTAGGCATGCAAGGCCATCAATCCCCGGGGCAGAGCCTCAGAGACTCGCTGGGGCGAGCCTGTCACAGGGAGGCTGAACAGAAGGTGGGGAGACAAACAGGCTCTAAACATCCCTGGCCTGTCCACTGGGGCTCCCTTGTAGGGGAGTGGCTGGCCAGCAGGGGTGGGCAGTGTCTCCTGCCTGGGCTCTGCTCGGGAAGAGCTCCTCTTGTCCCCCTTTCCTACCCCAGAGGACTCTCAGCCCTTCAAGCACCCTGTCTGCATCAGCACCTACTGTGTGCCAGGCGTGGCTGGGGGCCAGGGAAGGAGGGCAGGCACTGAGACAGTGCCTGGTCCCTTCCCGGCAATACCCAGCAGGCCCAGCCCCAGGCTGATTTGGGTGAGTGACCAGGGCTGGATACCCTCATGGAGCCACCAAGTGACTGTGGACTTAGTCTCAGCCTGCAGGCCCTAGTGGTGGGGACAGTGGGCTTCTCTCGGGCTAGGTCATCTGCCGAGCTGCTCCTTCCTTAGAGGCCTCCTGGGCACCCCACAGGGCTCGGGAGGGAAGCCAGGCATGGCCAGGGTCCAGAACCACAGACAGGAGATAGATAGCACCATAACCACATCCTCCTTAGCCCTGAACAGGTCACACCAATGACAGGGTCTGGCATGGAGAATGCTGCAGGCTCAGGAAGAGGCCACGTAGGTGCCAGCAGGCCTGTCCCCAGGCTCTCCCTGTCAGGCTCCCTCCTGCCTTGGGCTGCTAGGCGCCTAGGACCCCCCCCTCAAGGTGTGGCAGGGGAGGCTCAGGGGCCGCGGTGGCAGACACTGACACTGGCCAAGATGGTATCTAGGCCCACGTGGACATCCTGGGGTTCCTGGACTGGGGCTGCAGTCAGGAGGTTGGAAGGAGCTCAGGCCCCACTTCCTGCCAATCACACTCCTGCCCATGGGCCACCTCTGCCTGGTGTAGGGGGCCAGAGGCAATGTGGGAAAGACCTAGGGATAAGATCAGAGCCCAGGGCCCACCTGCCCTACAGGTCCATCAGCATCCCTCCCCGCCCCAGGCCCCTGTGGGAGTTCCCAGTGGCTGGTGAAGTGTCATTAATGGTTGGTACCAAATACACACCTGAGGCCTCAGCAACCTAAGAACATCACTCCATCCAGGACACACTGGGGATGGCTCCCCATTGGACTGGCTGGTCCTCCTAGAGCAGGGGCTGGGCTGCAGGACTCCAGGAGACTATGCCCCCACCTGCTACCCTGGAAGCTCCAGGGGCAGCCAGGGCCACACCCTGCCCTGTGCTCCATGGACCTGATCCAGACCAAAGCTGCTGGACTCCAGGTAGTCACCTGTCTCAGGTGGAGTCCCCCTGGAGGAGCTTGCTGAAGAATTATGGGTGAAGAGCTGAACAAAGGGGTGGTCTCCAAAGAGAAATGGCCTCTGCTGAGCCTGCAGGACACCCTGGGCAGGAACTGTCCAAGTTGGTCTCACTTGGACCAAGAGAGAGAGGGTCTGGGGATTGTACCCACATGTCAGTCTTCATGGCTGTGAGCGGCTGGCAGGGGGTACCTCGGCACTTCACAAGGACTCTGGCTTCTCACTGTCATGGCTGGGCAGTCCCAAGTCCAGGGCCTGGCACCTAGTCATATTGCTATAGGTCAGTAGTTCTCAACTGGGGGGGATTCTGCCCCTGGGGGCATCTGAGTGCCACAGCTGGGGTGGTGTGTACTGGCATCTAGTGAGTACAAGCCAGGGAGGCTGCTAGACACTTTGCAGTGCCAAGGACAGTCCCATCCCCACATGCCCACAGTGCTAAAGGCAAGGCTAGGTGGTGCATGACCCTGGGGGGTCACATGATGGGCAGGCGCTCTGGGTGGGCAATCTCAGGACTGGCAGAAGGGGGCAAAGACAAGGCCATTGGAGGCCTGAGGGCTGGCAGGAGAGTAGCCAGTGCCCAGAGGCCCATCTCCCTGGGGTTCAGAGCTGGGCACGGTGGGAGCCAGGTTGGCCAACCCCTCCCCAGCTGGGGTCAGAAGCAGCCCAGGGAACCTCCTGCTCAGCCGCTGGCCCAGGCCCTGGGAGCTGCACAATCTACATGGACCCCCAACCCAGGAGCCCCGAGACCTCAGCAGCCTGGGCTGCTGCTACCCCACCCGGGAGCCAGGGGGTCCCAAGCCTGGCTGCACCACTCACTCATGCTGCCCTGGCCAGCACTCTCCAGCACGCCAGAGTGGGCAGCACCCCCAGCCCTGGGGGGAGGAAGGGTGGCTGAGGAGGCCCTCAAGGCAGTCGCTGCAGGACTCTGCCCATTGCTTCTCTAGGCTGGGGATGAATGCCAGCTCCCACAGGGCAGATCCCAAGAAGAACCTACAGGGAGGACCAATGCACCCTGGGAGGCAGTCAGCTCCCAGGAGGGAACAGAGGGTGCTACTACAGAGGAGGGACTCAGAAGACACAGCACACAGACCAGCCCCTGCCCCCAACACCACTGCAAACCCCCCCCCCCACACACACACACACACACAGTGGCTCTACCTGGGGCCTCCTTGGGCGGCCGTAGGGGCGGGGCAGCTGGAAGGAAAGAGAACGGCATCATCATGACCAATACCTCTGCCCAGCCCCTTCCTCAGCCCCTGGTAGCCCAAAGCCACGGGACCTCGGCTGAGCCACATGCTTCTCCCACACTAAGGGCTAGGGTGGGGGGTCCCCACACCACTCCCAGGAGCTCTGTGTTTTCAGAAACTCCAGATTCAACAAGGAGTAGTTGGTTACCTACTACTTCCTGGGAAATGGGTCCCTAGGAGCACCCACCCCTTCATGGCCCCTTCCAAAGCTCAAGTACCAGCCAGGCGCGGTGGTGCACACCTGTAATCCCTGCAGATTGGGAGGCTGAGGCAGGAGGATCACTAGTTCAAAGCCATCCTCAGCTATGGTGAGGCACTAAGCAACTCAGTGAGACCCTGTCTCTAAATAAAATACAAAATAGGGCTGGGGGTGAGGCTCAGTGGTCGAGTGGCCCTGAGTTCTATCCCTGGTACCAAAAAAAAAAAAAAAAAAAAAAAGCCCAAGTACCCAGATACCCTTCCAGGGTAAGCAGACCTCCGGGGAGGCCTTGGGGCGGTATGCTGCCTAGAGCCACCCCAAGCCCCCAGCTCGCTCAGGCCAGTAGGGGACAAACCCCATATGGCCTCCATTCCGTACTCAGGATACAAGTGACCTGCAAGGTCCTTCACAAGAGCTACCCAGTAACACCCACTGGATTTCCTTTCTTGCTGCCCCCTCTGCACAGCCAGGGCTGGGTCCCCCATTCCCCATCTGACCTCATACCCCAGATCCCATTTCAAACACTACGTGAACCACCCAGGGCCACATGGTCTGTGACAGGTGGGGCAGCACGCAGACCAGAGTGGCCCCTCCGGCTCCTCCAACAGACTCATTACTTGTTCTAGAGAGGCCAGGGGGACTTGGGAGGAGGTCAGGCTGCAAAATCCCAACCCCACTGGGCTGGGCACATCCGATCCGCTTGCCAGCTTCCTGGGCCTCTGCTTGCTTGCCCATACACTGAGGTCAAGCAGGGGCTGGCAAGGGTCACTGGATGGTTCACAACACCCAGGGGGAGCCACGCTGGGTACCACAACCCTCACCACCAGCCACCTCCAAGTCCCGGTGACTTCCCAGTTTAAGGGAAGGATGCACGCGGCAGGTGCCACTAGTGGCCATTTTACAGAGGAGAATACTGAGGCACAGAGTTACAGCCAGTTGCGCAACATCACCCATCTGATAGGTTGCTGAGGGCCATTACCAAGTAGGTATGACGCATCGTAATCCTTGCCAGTGTACCCCATGTTAAATGGACTTGCCTTGGAAATTTGCTGCGACCTTGCTTGTGTGCTTTAGTAAGATGACCCTGCTCAAGGTGATCGAGGGTGAATCCAGGTTTGAGGAAGTATCCCGGTCCTTGGGTTTAAGGCGTTTCCCGGTTTAAGAATATGGGTTTTAGGGAAGTTGAGGTTGAAGATTATTGCTGCTGGGATTAGGGTGTTCCTGCAGCTTGTTGAGTTCTCGTGAGATTAAAATGGGATTTGGAAAAAGCCTCGTGGAGTAGGATTTGGGATCGGACATTTGGAATTGCCCCTGAACGTGTGTGGAGGCTGGTGTGAGATCGGGAATAAAGAATTGCTGTTTGAACCTACAAAGCTGTGTGGTGCCTCCTGATTCTGGTGCCCCCCAAAACATCGGCAATAGGTGGCACTCATGAGATACAACAGGCCCTCTGGCTTCAGAGGCCTGGCCCTGGCCAACTGCTGCCCAGCATCTGGCTGTAGTGGATGCCCCACTAGGACAGAAAGGTGGAATTTCTAGTTGCTCATCCTGCCCACTTGCTAGATTGACCATTTGCTCAGAGCCTGGGGAGAGGGGGTTCCTGGGAGGGACAGGCCAGACTCTAAGGTCTCCTAAGAAGCATTTAAAGTCCTCCAGAGCCCCAGAGACTATGCTGCCGGGACAGAGAGTACAGGGATGAGTTGGCCAGCCCAGGTACCAGTGGGCAGAACAGGGCACTCTGAGCTGGTTAACAAGGCAGCACATCACAGAAGATGCCCATGAGGCACACTGCCATCACAGGAACGCGAAGAGGTCGGCGTCTCTGGAGGAACCCAAGGATCAGGACCCGCTCTCTTCAGGGACACAGGGAACACCAGGTGTCAGCAATGGGTTCAGATTGGTGGCACATTATTCCCTGTCCTGTAGCCTGTTTAAAACTCTGACAAAGGGCAAAGCACAGCAGTTCATTCTGGGATGGGCCGGGCCCAAGCCACTGGCCAAGGGAGCACAGTTAACCGGGTCCTTCAAAGTCCTAGGCTGGCCCTACACAGGGGCCCTGGGACTCCAGGGGCTCGGGGGCTGAAGATCACAAGTCAGCTGAGCAAAATCCAGCCTCAGAGTGGGGGAAATGCGATGAGCCGGGCTGTAGCTCAGTGGTGAGCACTTGCCTAGCATACAGTGGGCCCTGGGATTGACCCACCAGTACCACAAAAAAGGAAAAGAGAAAAAATCCTAGGCCCCCAGGAGCAGGGAAAGGTAACCAGGGCAAGCCCCGCCCGGGACACTTCTCAGGGGCCACCATCCCAGGGCTGGGAGACCAAGCCACCAGAGACAAAGGGTGCCCTAAGGCCACCCAGCAGGCCAGCCCAGGGGCTGGTGGAGCTCAGATTCCTCCAGTGCCCAACCCACCCCCCTTCTGCCATCTGGCCACCACCCCCACAGCACAAGTTGACTGTGTGCTCCCCAAAATGTGTGTACTGTAGTCCTAGCTCCCAGGACRCCACGATGCAACCTATGTGGACATGGAATCTTACAGAGGTGACCAGGTGAGAGAGGTCATTAGGGTGGGTCCTGGCTCAATATGACTGGTGTCCTCCTGAGAAAGAAAAGTAAGGACACAGAAAGGCATGGGGACACCTGGGGAGAAGACACCCCAAGGAGAGCCGCCTCAGAGGAACCAGTGCTGCCCACCCTTGATCTTGGACTTGATCTTGGACATGATCTTGGACTTCCAGCCTCCAGAACTGTGAGGTGGTCAGTTTGGGTTGTCGGAGAGCCCCGGTGGGTGGCACTCGGTCCTGCCAGCCCAAGCCAACCCACGCTGCTTCCCCGTCCAGGCCTCAGTTTCCCCACCGGGACCTCCTGTCTACCCCAGTTCACTTTCAGCAGCCCTGCAGCACCAGAGCCGGGCACGGGGACAAGGAGGAAAGACAGGCGGGGGGCCTTCACAGTTCCGGGCCTGGGTCACAGCCTCCTCCCCAAGCCAGTCCCCTGGCCTGCTGTGACAGCACCACAAGCGTCGTGGGCTCTTTTGTAAAACTGGCTTCTCGGAGCACATTCAGGCTTCATTTACCAGCCAGCAGGGGGATTAACCAGAGGCCCCAGCGTCAATTGCAGCTGCCCCCACCCCAGGCCGGCTGGGCACAGAGAATCCACAGGCAGAGTAATAACGTGTGTGGCGTCTCAAGATGAATCATCCCAGAGGAAGCAGCTGTGTTGATGGAATTTTAAAGCCAACAGGAGAGAGAAAATACGAACTGCGATACAATAATTTAGCCTGTGAACACTCCGGCACATTTTTAATTAAAGCTATTTTGGAGTTAAGTAGAGGCCACGGGGGAGGGACAGGGCAGTGGGGGACGGGAATCCGGGGAGGCTGCTGGCCTCCTGCCCAAGCCCCAAGGCCACATCACCTGATGATGTTTCAAAGAATAATATTCCTCGCGCCTTCTTTTCACCAGGGGCAGGTTCCCTGCTTTGCTCAGGGACGGGGTTTCGGTTGGATGTCACTGACAAGAGTTAAACGTCAGAACTGTCACATCTCACATGCCACAGCCCCTGAGACTGAGGACAGCCTCCCTCTCACGGCCTCAGCCTCTTTGTTCAAGATCCCCAGGCCAGGCTATCTGGCCATCTCGTGATCACCGCCACAGCCGGAGCCTCGCAGCCCGGTGGGCAGCCCTCCCTTGGTTCTTGTTCTGAGCGAGAACCAGTCTCCCCCGTGGGCCAGGACTGGGTGAGACGCAGCCACGGGCTCCCAGGGTGCTCCATCCAGTTTGGCCATGCTGAGAGCTAGAGACAGAGGTGACCACAGAGACCCTGCAGCTCGTCCTCAAGCACCCCAGCAGGGGTGGGGACCAGGATGCACACAGAGGGTCACCACACTGTCCACAGAGGCAGACAGGACGGCCCAGGGGCCACCAGCAGGCATGAAGGGTGTGGCAGGCTTCCTGAGCCAGCCGACCCAGTGGGCCACCTGGCAATGGCATCAGAGTCAGTTCCCAGAGACACTGGGCATCTGGAGCTGGCCACTCACGGGCCAGCAGGTATGGCAGGGCCGGGGAGGCTGAAGTTAGGCCAGGCATGAGCACAAGCAGAAAGGTGGCTAGAGGGCCAGGCAGCTGGACCCAGACACAGGGGGGTGGACCAAGTCTCCCATCACCAGCCCACACCCACCCCACCTGCAGCAGGGAAGACACCTGTGTCCTCCAAGTTCACAGAAGGACCTGCAAGGTCAGACACCAGACACCACACCTGCTCCCTCACCTGCCCTGACCAAGGCTCCACCCGTGTCCCCACACACCTGCTCTGCCTCCACTGTCTGTGGGTGTGGGGCCAGGCCCTGGGGGAGAAGGGTGGACCCCAGCCCAGAGAGGGACACCAGCAGGCGGGACATGGCGAGGCAGGAGGAAGGCTCCTGCAATGCGCGGCCTGTCTGACAGAGGGCCAGCGTGGCCTGTTCTCCCCCCACTCTGCAGTCCAGGGCCTGTGGAACCCACACAGCACAGTGGGAGGGGCAACCCTGGAAGGGACCCAGGTGGCGGCAGATCCCCGACGGGGGCTTCCCAGCAGCGGCCCAGGCAGCAGCGGGTAGGTAGGGGTCACAGACTGCTGGGGGAGCCCAAGGAAGGTGGGACGGGGTGGCCTGGGGCAGGGCCTCGGTGAGTGGCCACCACCCCTACAGCCCACCTACCTGTGGCAGGAGCTTGTCACCCTCCAACAGCTTCACCTTGGTCTCCAGCTGCCGGATGTAGGTGGACGAAGCATCTGTGAGGACGGAGGAAGCAGACAGCATGTTAGCCACCAGCGGACTCTCCCTCAGCCRCCACCTGGTCTCCCCGACCTGTACCCTGGTACCCATTCAGGGTGTGCCTGGCTCTCTGACCGGGACTCCCTTGCCCACCTGTCCTGGGGTGACTCGGGGAAGCACCACCTCTCCTACACAGCTCCCATCACTAGGTCAGTCAGGAGCCAGGTGCTGGACACCCTGCCAGACCCTTGAGGGACACTCCCCAGTCATGCAGCCCAGTTTCTGAACTAGGCCAGGAGAGGCCAAGCAGACCCCCAGTGCAGACGGCTGCAGGAGGGAAATCTGCCTGCCCTCCTCCACTCCCCGCCCCCTCACCCCGCACCACCGACCCTTGACCTCAGGAGGCACCAGGGAGACCCTCTGACCAAAGGCAGCTGTGGAATCTTGCCTCAGGGGACTCAGGGCTGGGAACAGACCCCACAGGTTCCTGCACTCCAGGTGGACAGAGGGGGCTTGGATGTCACAGGAACATGAAGCGTCTGTCCAGCCCCAGCACGAGGCCCATGGACCCCAGAGCCCGAGGGGTCTTCATGTGTAATGAGTGCTATCCCCTGTCCCCAGAGCCCACCAGCTCTAACCAGGGGCCGGATGGGGCAGCCTGGGCAGCTTCCTGGGTGGCGGTTTGGTCATGACCCCACAAGGTCCTGCCTGGTAAGGTCCTCCAGGAGCCCATGCCCTGGTCCCACACCAACGCTCACTCCCTGTGCCTTTGATCTGCCTGCTGTGGGTCACTTTGTTCCCCAAGCACAGCTGGAGGGCCATGGGGAGCCCCTGCCCCCTCAGCCAAGGTCCACAGGGCCCGGCAGAGCATCTAGTCCTGCCTGAGCAGCATCAGGCCCCCAGGCCCAGCCCCACACACTGTGGCTAGGCCCTCTGTCCCCCTCYACGCCCAGCGGTCACTGCTCAGGAATGCACAGGCTCCTGGAGAGGAGGGGGCCCCACCCGCCCACCCTGGGGGATGATAAGGCAGCTCTAATGAGGATCTGAGGCTCCAGCCTCTCGCACCTGCACCAGAGCCCCAGGAGGCAGCCTCTCCACTCAGTCCCGCCCGGGTGGTCTGGCGGGTGGTCTGGCAGGGATCCTGGCTAGCCCGGTGGCCACCACTATAAAACAGCCTCAGTTGACTTACTGGTCAGTCAGTGCTGAGAGCAGCCTCACACTCCCCCACCTGGCACGAGGGCAGAAGGCTGGGGCCCAGGGGCAAGTGCGGGCAGGCGGGCACACCTGGGCTCCCAGACCTCCCTCCCATGCCCTGGCAACTGGGGCTCCCAGAAGGCCATCTGGGCACAGTAGGCCAGGTCACTCCAAAGACCACACTGAACGAAGACAAGCCCCAAATGACCACCTGTGGTCCCCGTCTGGGGAGGGATTAAGGAAGGGGACAGTCACCGCCCCATGTCACATGCAGCAGCCCTGCACCCAGAGCTTCCTTAGACCCTCACAAGGGTCAAGCACCCACTGTCYGCATTTTCTAGATGAGGAGGCCACAAGGAATAAAGTATCCCTGCTCACAAGGGGATGCGCTCTCTGCCCCTCCCAGCACCCAGGCCCACCCACAGGTCAGAGCTGAGAGTCCCCAGCTGGGGGGAGCAGCTGGAGGACCCTGGAGAAGCGGCCTTTTCTGGGCAACCCCCGTCAAGCACTCTGCGGAAGCAAGCCCTGGGGCGCAGCCACAAAACCCCTACCCACCCCATAGGTCAGGGCTCCCAGGCACAGCACTGAACAGAAGAGAGATCCAGCCACCTGCATGTGACCACCGGCCCTTGTCTGGTACACTGCCCTTTACAACCACAGGACCATCCAGAAGGTGGGCGTGCTCCTCCCGTCTCCCTCTGTGGACCTCGGTGGAGTGAGCAAGGAGCTCCCAGGGTTTCCCTTCTGCGCCAGACCACATTTGGAGTCATGGATTGGGACTGAGTCCCATCCAGCCTCGGCACCTCTGTTGGGTGGCCCTGCCCCTGTCTGAACCAACAGGGTCTGAGACCAACCTCCTCAGCCAGCAGTAGGAAGACAGAGCAAGGACAGGCTGGCCCTAAGAGAATGGACACGGGCTGCCCACAAGTCACCCAACCATGCCCCACCACCCATGGCCAGCACTGAGCCTTAGGACCCACAGGCACGACCCAGCAGGTCACCTGTTGTCACTACCAGGCCCACATGAACATGGACCAGAGCCCAGCCCCAGAAAGCCCTAGAGGCTGCACAGAACAAAATAAAAATCAGACCACAGGGGTTTGTTGGGCTTTTCCTTTTTAATTTCAAAAGAACAACACAATAGTCTTAAAAATACTTCTGACCATCCACTAATTCCAATGGAATCTATCACAAAGAATTAATTCTAATTATCAAGACTGCTGACAGATCTATAGTGGCCAAAACTGGAAATAGCGATTAGTCCAATAATAGCTGAGCGCACCCTCTCCCCATCACGTGCTGAGGGTTAGGAGGAGTTTCTCTCCGGAACAATGTGGGAACAACTTAAAATGCCAGTGGAGAGAACCGCACTCAAAATTATCTGCATAATAGCTGCTGCATTTAAAAATATCTATGCACTGGGGGACCAGGCATGGTGGCCACGCCTGTCATTCAGGGACTCAGTAGGCTGAGTCAGGAGGATCACAAGTTCAAGACCAGCCTGGGCAACTAAGAAGACCCTGTCTCAAAATAAGAGGCCTGGGGGCAGGGAGGCAGGCAGCTCAGGGGAAAACGCCCCCGGGTTCAGCCCCTGGCACTGCAAGAAACAAATCCACACACGGATACAGATTCAGGAAAGAAGTGCATCGATCACTACCAGGAGTGTTGCTGAGATGAGGAACAGTGCTTTTAAAGTTACCTTTAAAATAATTTCTGGTCAATTTTCAAATAATCTACAGCAGGAAGAAATCTTTCTTTTATAAACTAAGAGAATGGGTTGCATCAGGCACCTCCCCATTTCAGGGTCCTCACTGGGCTCACAGAGGTGCAGCTGATCAGGGGTGGGGGACTCCAGCCTGACCCTGGCCCCACCAGCTCCCAGGGGACCTTCCCAGCAACCCTGACAACGTGTGACATCACCAGGCACCTCCCAGCTCCTTGGAGCTGGCGTGTCATTAGATTAATGCCAGGGCTTGCAGTCACGAGGACTGGAGCCACGGGGAGGGAAGCAGCATCTCCCAGAGTGGCCACTTCTAGGCAAAATGAGAAGGTGACCACAGGAGGGACCCTGGGCTGAGCTGGCCAAGGCGTCCCCTTAGAAACCCCCCTGACCCCTCCTGGGGTCACTAGGACCAATCCTGGGGGTTCCATCCAGATCCAGCTCTCAGCTCACCAGCTTCCTGGGACTGGAAGACARCCCTGCCTGGCCCTCCTGGGGTGCCCCCTCCCCTGGGTGGACAAGCAGGGGACRGGGGCACAGACCTGCAGGGTCTGCCACAGGCTCTGTTCTAGTTCTGTGCAGGGACCGGCCGGTGACCATGAGGCCACCCTGCCTTCCAAGAAACTGTAGGCAGAGGGGCTGGCTCACACAGGCCCTCTTGGCCTGGCTTCCTTCCTGGCACCATGATGTCACCCCCAGCCTCCTCTCCAGGCTTTGCTGTGTCCAGGTGACAGGAATTAAGGGCCAGGAGCCACATCTGACCACCTCCATAAACCCCCCCACCCCAATCAGCTGCACATTAGTGGTTCACAGGAAAAAGCCAGAAACAGGAACACCTCCCTGCCTTGCAGGATGTCCCCAGGCAGCCTCCTGGCTCTAGAGGCCATAAGCCCCCAWGGCCAGCAGCCGTGGCTGCAACGAGCTCTTCGAGAGCAGTGGACACAACACACCCCGCGCTAGGAGGGTGCGGGGAGGCCAGGAGCCGCAGGGGCCGCACACAGAAGGCCAACCTCAGGTCCGAGATCTGACTGCAGCATGTCACGCGGTGACCTCAGTGACCTCCCAAGGGCTGGGAGCCTCTGAGGCAGCCCAGGAAATAAAGAAGCCCTGGGTCATCTGGGAGGTGACCACAGGGATCCCAGGTAGGGGGTGGAGACTGGAGGCAGGGAAGGGAGGAAGCCAGCAGGAGGGGCACTGGCCTGCGGTGCTGGGGGCTCAGCACCACCGTCCAGGGGCTCACAGGCCGGCACAGACCACCTGGACCCACCTGAACCCTGGACACGAAAGCTCCGGGGCAGGCTTCAGGGACAGGTGAGGTGGAGGTGAGCTCAGATGGTGACCGCCTCAGGGCGTTGGGGACATGCCAGCAGAGTTGCCCTCCTCCAGGAGGAAGCAAAGTTGGACTCCACCAGGCCCCTCCCTGGGTCCCCACAGCTCAGCCTCCCTCCCAGCCACACCTCTCTGAGCAAGGTCCTAGTTATGGCTTCCTTTGTCACTTTCTGGAAGGTCTGGGGACCACTGGCTTTGTGGCAGATCATTAGCAGGAGGCCCAGCCACACCAGCCTCGGGCCTCCTCCACGGGCCGCTAGGCAGCTCGGCTGATTAAACTCTCCTCCTTCCACTTCATTAAGGGGGTCAGTGGCAGCCCCAGGCTGGTGGCTCCGTGGGGGGAAGGCCTCATTAAAGAATACACCAACTCATCCTTGTCACTCGCAGGCCCCTCCCTCCCTGGGCTGCAGGGCTAGGACAAGTGGCTCCTGAGGGTCTCTTCCCTGAGCTGGTGGCCTCTGCTCCCTCCTCCCACCCAGGACCTACCTGGGCGGGGCCTGGCCTGCTGCAGGTGAGCCTGAGGGCCAGAGGGCAGCAGGCCTACCAGGCAGACTCCACACAGAGCAGGAAACCCAGCAGGGCAGCCCCGGGGAACTCCCCTGCTCTGTCACCATGGAGCCACCTCAGTCTACCTGGGCCTCCTGCTTCCTTCCCAAAAGGTGACGGCACTGTCCCCAGTGTGCATGGCTCTCACAGGCAACCTGAGACCTTACCCACCACAGGGAGGTCCCGTCACCCCCATTCAAGGCACAGAACAAGGTCACTCGGGCCAGG